AATAATTTAATATTATATGATGTTCTTTTAACCTTATAACTTACTAAAATAACATAAAAAGAAAAGTTGAGTTTAGGAAAGTATACATGGGTTAGCAGAGATGATATTGTCTTTTCTAAAGTATTTTAAGGTTCCAACAGAAAAGACTTAAATTTCATTTACATGGTTCTACTAGCTGATGCAGTTTAGAATTTTCCAATTAGGAAATACAGAGCCTGAAAGTGAATTTTCAGATTCATGACCATGAGAGAGGATCATAATGAGACCATCGTGCCGATAAAGGAAAGAATAAGTCAATGTGACTAACATTTACTCTCCTGTCAGCTCATAGTGCAATTCAGGGAGGCTGAATTACATCCACTTCATACAATGATACTTCACTGTTCTGTGAATTTGAGGGTTTTTCTTCTTTCTTTATTATTGAAAAGAGTACAGGGCAATGAATGAGGCTAAATATATTTTATAGTAATTGATTTGAAAAAATAAAAAAATGAGAGTTGAACATGAAAGCTAAATATGTGAAAATAAAAGATTCTTTGGAACGTTAAAAAAGTATCAAATTAGTTTTTTTCCTAAAATTATCAAATCTAAGACTAGACCCAATAATCCTTAAGGCTCTTGAGTAATAAGGGTCCCCAGAAACGCACCTCTTACACATATTTTTTTGCACTCTTCCAGACTTTCAAATCGATTCTGATTTCCTTCACATCCCCCATATACAAATTCTTCACACTGTTGAGTGAAAATATTGAAGAAAAATCTCTTCATCATTGCTTTGCATGGGCCATCATCCGCCTTCAGTGCACAAAATGAATGCATAGGTTTCAGTGGTGGCAACGCAGTATCTACATGGTAAAAATAAAAGATATAACATGTAATCCTCCATCAACACTTTAATAATGTTCTTTATTTCCTCTATAATATGTCCTGATTTGAAGTAAAAGTACAACAACAATAAAGTATGCTGGTAAGAAACCATAAAAAGTTATTCACTTATCAAAAAGATAAAGTTAGTAAATTCACCAAATGAGACACGTTTTATAATCTATTAAAGTTTAATAGTTGATTACTTATCAACTATTACAGGAAAAATGTATAATTTTTTTCTAGATTTTTGTTGATAGGTATTGATTAAATCTGTGTCAGTTGACTGAGAGGGAATTGAGTAATGGATATAAGGCAACCTCATTCAAATGGATGTGTCCACAATAGACCTCTACCTTTAACTCAGTTAATGATAAGTCTTTTGAATTTCTCTCCCTAAACCATAGTTCTGTCACTTTTCACACATAAAACAACTCTTTAAAAACAACAGTATATTCACATTCTCATATATATACATATATATCTCTAAATATA